ACATTTTTGTATGAATAGTTTACCCTTAATTTCATCCCTTACTGGAGGGGAGCAACCCTTTCGAAAAATTTAAATGGCATGGGATGATGAGTGATAGCTCCTTTGAAAGGAGGTTTTATTCTCTATTCAACCGTGCAAAAATTTTGAAATTTGCTTCATTACGTGTTGATTTATTAATGTTTAAAAAGTAACAAAACATCAAAAATAGGTAAGCAACTAAACTAACAGTGACCTTAGGGGGCATCCATTAATTACGTGAGGTGTTCAAGGGGGGGGGGGGGATAAAACTAAATCTTTCTAAATCTCACTTGGGGGGGAGGGGGGCTTTTCGTAAATCTCACGTAATATTTTTTCTAGTAAAAAACGGTGTAAAATTGCGTGAAAGTAAAAGTATTTCTAGAATAAAATATGGAAAAATCTTATAATTATGTTTATTTATTTTTTATTAATTTCCATTTAAGTATTTATCATTTAATTTTATTAATGTGATTTTAAATAATTGCAACACTCTCAAACACTAGTCTTTGCTAGTCTTAAATAAAAGTAATGGAACATATTGTGTTTTTGTTTGTTTTTTTTTTTAATAATACAACACATTTACACCCAAAACACGAATTTTGAAAAATCTCACGCGAGATTAGGGAAGGGGGGAGGGAGTTAAGGAAAATCTTACCAAATCTCGCCAGGGGGGGAGGGGGAGTCAAAAAATCCTCAAAAATACCTCACGTAATTAATGGACGCCCCCTTATCTAATGGCAAAAAGTCTTACTTCACGTCTGAACTAAAACCGATATCATGCAGGGCCGAATTTTAATTCTAAGGATGAGTGCGCTACGTTAATTTTCGTTATTTTGAAACAATAATTATTCGAGAATTAATGAAGCAAATTTTAAAATTTTTTGCACGGTTGAATAGAGAATAAAACCCCCTTTCAAATGAGCTGTCATTTACCACCTTATGCCATTTAAATTTTTCAAAAGGGTTGCTCCCCTCCAGTAAGGGATGAAATTAAGGGAAAACTATTTATACAAAAATGTACATTGTAGAAATCAAAAATCGACGTGTCTCGGTGATTTTCCTAACAAGACTCCAGTAACGAGTTAGATGGGGGGTAAGACTTATGGTGCTCACTGTATAGTTGTTGATGTTCTTACAGATTCTTAACTTTGAATTTTGAGTGGTTGGTTTGGGTTGTTAGGTAATCTTAAGTCAACTTTTTGACCATTATCTATTGTCTCCCTTATTGTTAATAAAACTTCTTAATTTCTCCATTATTTCTTTTACTACATACCGAGGGGCAAATCACTCCCGCAATACGTGTACAAAATGTCCGCAATCCCATTGAAAATCGCCGCAGTCTCATCAAAATCAGTGACAATCGCTAAGAAATCGCCGCAGTCGTTCCGAATTCGCTCGCAGTCGTTCCGAATTCCCTTGCAGTCCCCCGAATTCTCTAGCAGTCACTGAGCAATCACTAGCAATCGTTAAAAATCGCGCGAAGTAAGGTGACATTAACCAATTAGCCATTGTTGATGTAGGGTGCTTTGATTAAGCCATCTAAACCATTTTGTGTAAAGAAATTGCAGTTTACATTTATCGAAAGGGTCCTTCCGTGCATTTTGAGGCAAGAACTATTAAGTTAAATTTACATTTTGGAATTTGAAGGTTTTTTTAGGATAAATTTAGACACTAAATCTACTTGTATACAAGATTTTACAAGGTGGTCGAAAATTGTCCCTTTTCATCTAGTTTTTTTTTTTAATGTATAACAAAATTGTTGGTATTTTATGGGGGTTGTGGTGATTAACGTTTTAATTAGGGTTTTAAATGTATTTTTACTTTCCTATCTGTTTACAGATAAGGAAAGTATAGGAATCATGATTTTTTCAACCTTGAATTTTGGAGTATCCTGAATCTGTTTTGACTATTTTCGCGATGATGTCTGTGTGTGTGTTGTATCCTCGATAACTCATGAACGGATACAAATAGAAACACCAAATTTTAAACTTAAGCTTTATTCCGGCGTCCAATTAGCTGATTAGATTTTGGGCAGAGTCGGAACATTTGGAGGGTACTTTATAGTCATCATTTTTATATTTTATGGAATATATCTGTTATTTACGTTTGGAGAAGAAATTTTTTCAAATAAAAGTTACTTACAATATTATTATCTATAATTTGTTCTATACAAAATTTGGTCCGTATTCGAGAAATTTGACAAAATGTAAAAAAAAATATTTTTTTATAAAAATTGTTCAAATAAAAGTTGTTTGTAATATAATTCTCTATAATTTTTGCCCTATACATAATTTCTCTAAAATGGACCGTATTCGAGATATTTAAGAAAATGTGTAAATTTCGAATTTTAAAGAAGAATCAGAAACGGATAAAGTAAAAAACATTAAATTTTAAACTTAAGTTTCCATATATGATGTAGATAATGAAAAGAGCATTTTTTATGGATTGGAAGATCTTAATATAAAGGATTTTCGAAATTACTAGACAAAAAGTGATTCTGATACCTCATTTTTAAACATAATTGTAAACAACAAAAAAATCAAGGTAAAAAAATCAGCTCTTTGTTGGTTATTTTCCACTGAAGACGGGCGCTTCTCAACTGACAGATTATCTCGTGTAAAAGGAACATCCTCAGCAGTACTAAATAACAAAAAAAAAACAAGTCCAGAAAAAACACAGCTAAAATACCAAATAACTACAATGACAAAGATGTAACAGAAAGTGAAAAAACTACCGGTGAAAACACTTTGCTCCAGAAAAATATCAATGGCATTTTAATTAGGAACGAACAATATTACGCAATTCTTTACGAGTCGTGATACATAGGTCGAATTGTTCAAATAATTGATGAAACCACTAGTAAAATAAAAATTTTTAAATCTGAACTTGAAGAATATTTATGGCCAAAAAAAGACGACATTCAAATTGTTAAAAATAAATTAATATTTTACGGACCCATCAATTCAATTGGATCTGGTCCATTTAAACTAGAAACAAACATCAATAAAATTTGTAAACGTCTAAAAAAACACTTTTATAAAATTTTTAAATAAAAAACCTCCAATTACTTAATTACTTAACTTGTTTTATTTACCTGTACCTATTTGTTCATTTAGGCATATCAAAGATATCTAATAATGGAGGCATGTAAGTACCTACATAGAAGTTTATATTTCGGGTATCACATCAATTAAAACTGATCTTTTAAATGAATAAAAAACGTACAAAAAGTTGATTTATTGATAAATTTGTCGTACACACTTAGTTTTAAATCAATGCATTGTATTTAGCACCTATACATGCGCTATACAAAATTTAGTTTTTCTGATGAAACACCTAGCTAATGCTTTTTTACTGGAAACCAACTGGTAAGCCATACAATATCGTAGAAATCCTTCGGAATGCGTGCAATTTTGCAATAATACTGACAATCCATACGTACGAGTAAATCGCCGCAATCAATAGGGAAATTGCCGCAATCAATAGAGAAATCGTTGCAGTCAATACAAAAATCACCGCAGTCACGGGAAATCTGTCGGAAGTCATGTGGAAATCACCGCAGTCATCCAGAAATCGCCGCAGTCATCTAGAAATCGCCGCAGTCATCCAGAAATCGCCATATGATTGCGGAAATCATATGAATTCGGCAATACATGTACATTTTTACAAAGAGTGATTTGCCCCTCGCTACATACAATAAAATACGAGTACTTTTGACCTATAATTCCATCATCATTGTTTATCTACAATATTAATTGTGACTTATGTTGTGCGGGAGAAGGACAGCTATCCCCATCATTATTACTAATATTAATAAACTTATTTGCTTGATAATTTGTTAAATTTATCTTTAATTCTGTTGATTCAGCTGCTTTATGTCGCTAACAGTCATGTTCTGCTCTTGCCAGACAGACATCGATAAAATTGATAATTTTTATTTCGCTAGATTGAATAGTGTAGTAATGTCTTTCGTTCCATTTACAAACTTGCACGTTGCACGTTAACTTTAAGTGTTTAGTGTACCTTTAGTATTGATTAACCTTATTAGTTTTAAAGGAAATGCAAGCTCTAGTAGTGCATCTACATTAGCTTATACCCTCGCTTATATCTTTATTTACTTTCCTTGAACGTTTTTGAATAATTATGCAAATAGGGTTTGGTTTATTATAAAAGATTGTTCATTATTGATATATTATTTCTAAACTGCATTGGTAGGTAATCACATATTTTCTGCATTTAAGGATAGTTTAGTATTTCCTTTTATTTTTCATTAATGTCGCCAGTATGCGTTATATTTCAATACTTTTACAATTATTTTCTTCTCTGTTTAGTGGTTTTACTTCATTGATAAGGTAAGTAGTACTTACTGGATCATTATCCTAAACCCTTTGGAAGACAGGTATTACAGTTTTTTGGCTGTCCAGTCAATTTTCTATCACAGAGAGGTTTCCAGACTTTCGAATACCTCCCTTATAGCAGCTTTGCAATTGATCATATTTTTAAGTTACAAATATTTTCTATTTGATATTCTGACAAATTAAATCAATTATAATAAAAATTAGAAGAATAAATACCTATATAGAATCAATCGAGGAATCATTGTTATTTTAAAAATTAGAATATAATGTAGATAAACAAATTGGAGATAAAAATTACACTACCTACCTATCGCCTCAATAATAAAAACATATGGATTTGTCAAGATTTATATTCATTAAATTCAGGTATTTTTTTATGAATTCTCATATAGTTCATTATGTTGATAATAATCTGATATTTCCACGTCTTTGAACTCTTAAGTTAGGGTCTCCTGAAGCGGTAGAAGGAATTACGGTAAGTTGAACGCGCTGTATAAATTTTAAATATAACTACAATAATTTAAAAAAATGATAATAACGTTTAATTCTTTAAGATTCCCAAAAATTCTTAAAATGAACAATTTGAAACTTTGCTAATTAGTATTTAAAAAAACTTTCACCAACCTGGATTCCCAATAAAATCGTCTCTCTCCAGAAGCGCCGAAGGCGCTGTAAATCCATACGCTGGTAACCAGGGGTTATTCCCAGAATTTAAATCCACAGGTTGTCCGGGCCAATCGCTGAAGGCGATCTCTTCCATCCTGAAGACATCCACGACACTTTCAAAAGTTCATTTAACTCAATAAACACTTTACATTAAAAAGACGCATCACCTATCACTATGTTTTAAAGAAAATATAAACATGTTTAAATGCCCAGAGTGTAGGTAAGGCAGGTAACCGTGTTATCTACGTCGGATTTACAGCTACTTATCAGGCCACTTGATCTGAGAAATTTAAACTATTGAAATACGAAACTGTAATCATTCACTCCTTGATTTATGACACAAATGTTTTCACTGACGAACTTAAAGTGACGTTTTTGATGGTTCCACCCCGTGTTACCTTCGCCACGATCGGTGCATCTAACTTGTTTATTTGTATCGTGTTCGATGGACGGTTCTCTATGGCAACGCACCGGACTGAAGACCAAGATGCCGTGACAATAAAAAACAATGAACAAGTTGCTGTATAGCGGACGTGTAACGTGTAGTCTCGGGCACGTGACCCCAACGGCCAATCAGCTTTATTGCACAGGTTGTATCACGGTAGGCTTGATTTGATTCTAGTTGCTGTTATCCATCGCTACTAAGCAACAACATTGCGTTGTTTATCACGGTAAATATTGAACTGGTCGACTGATTATTACTGGTTGAGAACGCGCGGTGTAGATAGAACTAAATCAAGATTTAACCGCGATGCATTCACATGCAAAAATATAGTGGAAACGGTTTACAAAAAACATTTACCAAAAACAGGAAGTAAAAAATGATGCACAATTAAAAACCAAATCATATTTTATTACCTATGTTTAATGTAGGTAGTAATTTAGGTCTGAAATAGTATATTACGAGTGTCGAAAGTTACATTTTCCACACAAGTGGGAAATACTGTAGCACGAGGCATAAGCCGAGTGCGACAATTATACGAGTGTGACAAATCACTTTTACACAAGTGATTTATAATATGTTTCCTAGACTACAAAATAATTTCATCACAAAATGTAAAAAAACCAGAAAATTGGACTAAGCAGATTCAACTAAGATGTGGGAGGTTCCATGTTTATATAGGTGTATATAAGTACTTTTTTACACTTGTACACTCGTAGGGGGATTTTTGAGATTTGTTTGCGATTTTTCAAAATTATTCTACAACTTAGGTATTTCAGATAATTCTGAACTTTCGGATTTCGCTTTGAGATCTACAGTATATTACATTCACAATTTTCATACTCAGGTTTAGGTTTATGTGGTCTAACGTACATTGAAAACAACTCACGCAGACGAAGATATGGGCTTATTATGGATCAATGCATTTCTCATATATACCGATGCTGTATAGGGGTATTTGAAGATTTGAGAACGAACCTGAAACGGCGTCTGGCCTTAGCTAGTACATCAAATTGCTGTCTAGGAATCTCGACAGTCAATGTCGTCAGGGTCTAGCGGTAAGGGCATTTGTGTACAGAACAAAGATATCTGGGATCGAATCACAGCGTCGACATGCTTTTTTTTCAAATCTCAAAGTCTCTGTTTTCACCTCTGGGGTACGGGGAAAAAATAAAAAAATAAAAAAATAAAAAAATAAAAAAATAAAAAAATAAAAATATAAAAAAATAAAAAAATAAAAAAATAAAAAAATAAAAAAATAAAAAAATAAAAAAATAAAAAAATAAAAAAATAAAAAAATAAAAAAATAAAAAAATAAAAAAATAAAAAAATAAAAAAATAAAAAAATAAAAAAATAAAAAAATAAAAAAATAAAAAAATAAAAAAATAAAAAAATAAAAAAATAAAAAAATTAAAAAATAAAAAAATTAAAAAATAAAAAAATTAAAAAATAAAAAAATAAAAAAATAAAAAAATAAAAAAATAAAAAAATAAAAAAATTAAAAAAAAAATAAAAAAATAAAAAAATAAAAAAATAAAAAAATAAAAAAATAAAAAAATAAAAAAATAAAAAAATAAAAAAATAAAAAAATAAAAAAATAAAAAAATAAAAAAATAAAAAAATAAAAAAATAAAAAAATAAAAAAATAAAAAAATAAAAAAATAAAAAAATAAAAAAATAAAAAAATAAAAAAATAAAAAAATAAAAAAATAAAAAAATAAAAAAATAAAAAAATAAAAAAATAAAAAAAAAAAAAAATAAAAAAATAAAAAAATAAAAAAATAAAAAAATAAAAATAAAAAAATAAAAAAATAAAAAAATAAAAAAATAAAAAAATAAAAAAATAAAAAAATAAAAAAATAAAAAAATAAAAAAATAAAAAAATAAAAAAATAAAAAATAAAAAAATAAAAAAATAAAAAAATAAAAAAATAAAAAAATAAAAAAATAAAAAAATAAAAAAATAAAAAAATAAAAAAATAAAAAAATAAAAAAATAAAAAAATAAAAAAATAAAAAAATAAAAAAATAAAAAAATAAAAAAATAAAAAAATAAAAAAATAAAAAAATAAAAAAATAAAAAATAAAAAAATAAAAAAATAAAAAAATAAAAAAATAAAAAAATAAAAAAATAAAAAAATAAAAAAAATAAAATATAAAAAAATAAAAAAATAAAAAAATAAAAAAATAAAAAAATAAAAAAATAAAAAAATAAAAAAATAAAAAAATAAAAAAATAAAAAAATAAAAAAAAAAAATAAAAAAAAAATAAAATAAAAAAATTAAAAAAAAAAAATAAAAAAATAGGCAAATAAAAAAATAAAAAAGAACAGAAAAATAAAAAAACAAAAATAAAAAAAATCAAAAAATAAAAAAAATAAAAAAATAAAAAAAATATTTCACTGACTTAAAAATAGTGGGAAAAAGTTGCCACTAACACTGATAGCGCAACAAATTTTTCAAAAGTTAGTTCATGTAAAAATATAACTTTCTAAAAGTTCATATTGGTCACCAAATTTAAAAAAAAAATATTTAAAGGCGTTTTTGATTTATGGCAAATTTTGAATATTTTTAACATGTTCCTAAGATTAGTTTTTTTTTCTGTATGGGACCAATTTTATTACTGCTTTATGCTGATTTTTTTTGTTACCCTAAACACTAATTTCAGGCAACAGTTATGTATGCCGCGTTTGAGAATCCACATCGGATGCATTTTTTACATCTCGAGCGTTTTTTTATCCACATCGTACACATCTGTCCCATTACATTTACATATACTGAATCACGTGATCAAAGATTTACTACATCTCAGATGCATCCGATGTGGATTCTCAAACGCGGCATAAGTATGTATGTTAGGTCATTGTTTAAAGACAAATTTTACGAATTTTAGTACATATTTTAAAGAATTTACAAATTGTTAGTTTTATTAAGGTAATGTAATGCGAGCCATTTTCGACCAATCGGTCAGGCTCAAATCCTTTAAGTGCCTATCTACCTTGTTTGGGCTTTTGAGGCCGCACTTGTCAGATTGCCAAAGAATATTTAAAGAAATAAGTCAACTCGATGACTAATTTGAAGAAATGACGGAGGTGCGAGGCTTCGTAGAAACATTGCAAGTACTGGAGTCGTGTCGAACCTTCTGGACAGCGATTGCGCTATAGGAATCTTCTAGATCTCACCAGAATTTAGAATCGAACATTACCAGCGCATGCGGGCGGAGCAAGTTCAGTTGAAGCCGAGATACAGTTGAAAATAGACATTCGAATTATTAAATGAATTAACTACTATTTAGTGTAAATAAATTATAAATATTAAACAGTTCTAAATAAATAAACGTTAGAGCAGGGGTTCCGGCACTTGGGCCTGGGAACTTTTTACTGACCGTGGGAACCAAATTTTCCTTTGATGATACCGCCCTGCCACGCCCACGCAATTCTTATCTACTAATCGGTTTTTAATTGTTTAGTCACGTGTCGTGTACAGCAAATCGATTTTTAATTGCTTTTTAATTGTTTAGTCACGTGTTTTTTACTGACCGTGGGAGCCAAATTTTCCTTTGATGATACCGCCCTGCCACGCCCACGCAATTCTTATCTACTAATCGGTTTTTAATTGTTTAGTCACGTGTCGTGTACAGCAAATCGATTTTTAATTGCTTTTTAATTGTTTAGTCACGTGTCATCCATCTCTCATTCTATACACGTAATATATCACAGCAATCCACCATACACCATTTTAATATAATTTTTTAAACCATTTTTTTATTAAAAAAATTTGACTACACGGGGGATCGATCCACCGACCCAGAGATTACCAGTCTGCGTCTTAGACCGCTCGGCCACGAGGACATTTAATAATCATTTACAAGATGATGTATATAATCAACGTCATTCTACGTGATGTTTTGCCATTTGCAACTACACATGCGCAGTGCCAAAAGGACCTAAGCGTGTATCTTTAGCCATTCGCAACTGCACATGCGCAATGTTAAACGGACCTAAGCGTGTATCACGTGGTCCGATTCAAACGGGGTCAATATGTAAAAAAAACGTCGTACAGAAAAATCATGCACAGTGACGGACCACCTACGCAGTGACAGGCCAAAAGGGCATCGAACGTATATCTTTGTTAACGCAACGCATGTAACACACGCAACGCACGCAACGCACGCAACGCACGCAACGCACGCAACGCACGCAACGCACGCAACGCACGCAACGCACGCAACGCACGCAACGCACGCAACGCACGCAACGCACGCAACGCACGCAACGCACGCAACGTATGCAACGCATGCAACGCACACAACATACACAACGCACGCAACATACACAACGCACGCAACACAGGTATGCATTTACAATGATCACGTCAAAGGGCCCAAGCTTATATTTTGTTAGTCCGATTCGAACGGGAGAAAACGGTATTCTACGTGAGACGTCTTGCCATTCACAATGCGCAGTGGCAATGTCAAAAGGGCCGAAGCGTGTATCTCGGCTACTGTTGGTTGGATTTAGACGAGGAAAACGACATGTAAAGAACATAACAAAATCGACTAAACTGAATGATGAGGATATTAGTGATGAGAAGTATGCTCATGCACAAAATGTTTGGCAGCAATTCAAAAAAAAGTGCGCTAGAAGAAGCGATG